TGATGCATGACAAACATGGAATTGCTGAAACATCCCACCAGAGGGAATACAGGATCTCAGAGCTATGTGGAGCTCCTACTGGGCTCACCGTACAAAAGCATGTTCTAGAAACAGCAACATAAAGGCACTTTATCAACAAATAAAGATGAGACAATGAAACTGACTACAATTTTGACAGTTTTTAAGTATGTATAGAAAGTGGTTCTTACAGCAGTCCCAGAGATCTAACTAGGTGGGGTGGTTTTTGGAGAGGAAGATAACGTGACCTACCCAGAAGCTGTGAGCAGGGCACAGATCTTGCCAGCTTCCCAGATCACTTGTGTGGTGAGGGAGGTCCCCTTCTGAAGGGGGTGCTGGGCTGTAAAACCCACCACTTAAATCACAAGGGCACACACATGCCTTGAAGACATGAACTTCTTCCAGATTTTGGGGTGTTAGTAGAAGTTTTTGGAAGAAAACAAGTTTTCTAGAATTGCTTATTATAACCCAGCCAAAAAGCCCATGGGTTTGCTGTTTATCTAAACCACCCCATAACTGCCCAGCACTTTTAACAGAAGTGAAAGCTCTTGTAGGTTTTAGTGTACAGACAAAACCTAATAGAGGACAATTTTGGGTGGTAGGTGGGGAAAAGAGTTAATTTCTTTCCTTTTTTTTTTTTTTTTTTAATTATCCTATGATAATGTCCCCTTCTTTCCTTAAAATCAGTTTAGTCATTTTGACACAGTGCCTTAAGTACAGTATCATAAGGGGTTTGGTTTGATTTTTTTCCCTTATTTTTCAATGGCAACAAGGATCCATCCTCTGAAGTATCTGCTCAGCTGGGCATTTCCTCTCTCCTCCGCACCCAGCATTCCTGTAACACACTCAGCCATGCCAGGAGGCAGGTCAGCTTCCCATTTTAAGTTTTTCTCTCGTTATACAGCGGAATCTGGGGCTTGCACTCAGTTTAACTGAGTAACTGAGCAAGTTTAAGGTAACGATCATTTATCTGAAAATGTCCTGCACTTGTGAACTATGTCTTAGGAAACCTCAACCTTCCGAGGATGTGTCAGGAGCTGCCACTCAGCCCATCTGGATGGAGGGGGTCAGCCAGACCTGCACAGGAGGGTACCAGAGACCCAACAGAGGAAAGGCAGATTGGGTACAACCGCCATCCCACCACTCTGCCTCCTCTCCCAGCCCTCTCACCTTGCTGTCCTGCTGGGAATGCCTTAATTCCCTGTGCTCTGAAGGGTTCTTAATTCACTGCGGCATGAAGTCACCCACGTTTTTCCTTTCAAACAGAAAAATGGCCTTGAACAGCCATATCTGTTTGAGGCACGTATACGTGTACACACACGAAGACACCACCACGTACAGTAAACGCATTAAAGTGCGCACACTGCTCAGTCTTCTGGATTGTATAATCCTACCGTAAGCACTTTTTCATTCTCAGTTGATTAAAGTATTAGCACAGAAAACATCCGTCAGAAACAAAGATTAGGCAATGGGCTCGGACTTGCTCAGAAGGGAAGCAAACAAACAGCACAAATAACGTGCAAATAAAATTCATCCCATGTAATGTTAATCCTTTCATTGCCAGGAACCAACAGTTTATTGGCATGAGGCAGCAGAAAGGAGAATTTCTTGTTTGGCTCAGCCACGCTTAAAATTCACAAGGACATTCTGCTTATTTTTTATCCTAATTCAACTGAAACACTGAAGGAAATGTAAGGAGTATAACACATCTTACAGAGTGAACCACAAAGTAGAAAATACAACATACTGTTCAGCCTCGGCTGCAATCAATGTAACAATCGAAATTTAGTTTTTGCTTTATTTCAGAGACAAAGCCAGAACCTATGCATTCCAGGGATGATTTAAAAAATATAAGATGGAACATGACATGAATCATATGCAAAAATTAGTACTTATTACTTATAATGAGATTTACAGTAAGATCAAATCTAAGAAATGTTTGGTCCACCATTACCCATCCACTCCCACAGCCTCTTCCTCACCCCTCCCTTTTTTTCGTGGGGGGTTGGGGGGTGGGGGCGAAAGCCTGAAGTCTTTGGTCATATCCTGAAAAGCGCCCTTTATACATAAACCCTGATTAATGTCACTTCGCATGACAAATATGGATGTGTAAACCATAAGCTTGGTGTTTCCTGACATTCAAGTATTTTACTACTCAAACCTAAACAAACATTTTAACGCAAAATTTGAATTTAAAGTTCCCATCATGTCAAACGGGCTGCTGTTACAGTTTTACGCCCCAGTGGAACTTCCACCCTGAACTTCAGCTCCACGTAACAAATACCACCGCTGCAGCTACTTCAGTTGGCAGCAGATGCTGCTGATCAAAACCAGAGGGGGCACTTGGAGCCCCTGTCCTTCCTCCACACTGAGGAAGGGTCCCAGAAGACAAGCCCACCTGCTCCTCAGGACCAGCTCCCCTGCTCCTCTCCCAAAGAGCATCCTAGGAGAAGCAGTAGCAAAAGCCTTGCGCTGTATTTGGAGAGCCAGGGAGCCGATCCCAGAAAAGCCCCCCACTGCCCAGCTGTCACCGGGACAAAGCGGTACACACTGCGGCAGGTCTGCTGGAAACAGCACTGCCTGACCTTCGGACCTCTGCTTCCCGCTCGGATTAGAACAGCGGCCTTCTCCGCACAATTTGGTGGAGTCATTCAGGTTTCCAGTCAAACTCAGGTGGTGGTGGTGATGGGTTTGTTTGTCCTTTAAGTGAGCCAAATACCTCATATGCTTATCCTATCTTGCAGGTTTCTTTCTTCTCTACCCCACCCTGCCCTTTCTTGAAGGACAGAAACCAGCTGCAAGAAATGGAGATGATTCAAAGCCTTTTAAAAGACAGTCTTTCACAATGAATGTATTAAGCACTTTGTGACCTTCTGCATCTGCAACTGGACAGAGACTACAAGGCGGAAGCATCATGGTACTTAACACGTTACATCCAAAATAAGCTCGCACTTTTCACGTGGCCTCCAGAAGGAAGCTCCCGGCAGAACCCTGGGAGGCAGATTGTGCCTCGCATCAGGACAAATACCAATGCCTAATCCCCTGCTGCCCATCAGTCAGCTACAGTAGGACACTGCTAGTAAGTAATCAAAACCAGAAAAGTCAAATGCCATAAAACTTTCAAAAAGTAACCAAAATCAGTATTTAGGAGAGCCAGCATTATTCGTGACCCTGAATTAACCTATTTTTAGTCAGTCTTGGAGGTTATAAAAAAAAAGCACAAGTTAAAAAGGTTCTTCCAAAATCACAGAGCCTGACACTGCAACTGCAATGATAGCCTCCACTTCATACACAGAAGGAACCAGAACAGACCCCAGGAAAGACACTGCAATACGTTATTTTGATTATTTTATTTATTTTTTTAATCTTCAAAATTTTCTGCCTTGAGACAGGAATGCATGATAGATAGAAATGGCTCAAACATCTTCACATGAAACACTCTTAATCATAATTCATTCACAATTATTTTTCTAAAACATCTACAGTTACATAATCCCACCCATTTCCATCCATTATCACAGATTTAATTATTTGTTAAACAGTAGTTGCCAGCAATTGAAAGCTGTAAGGCTTCTTGCATATTAGTAGAGTCTTCTGAACTACGAACACAAGGATATCACAACTATAACTCTCACTTTACATGGCAACCCCAGGTGGCAGATGTTCCAAAAAGAAATGTGTTGCTTACGTGGAGTTCATAAAAATGACAGAGAGAGCTCTGTGCCTCGTTAGCTCTAAAACCCTTTCTCCTTTACTAAGATTATTTTCTAAACCTACAGGATATTTCTCATTTGGAACCAAGGACTTTGATGAGTTGACCTTTTTATCTCCCGTTGCTGCTATTTGGCAAATTTGCGAGTCAGGCATACTAGAGCTCTCCAGTAAAACTCTATGTACAGAGCACAGTTTAAACAGATGGGTTGCTTGGAATCCGTATCTCCCTCCACCTGAAGGGAACTACTTTGAGGTTTTCTGGAACTGTTGTAAACAAGAGGATACTTTTTTTAATATATATGTGTATATATATATTTATATATTTTATATATAAATGTTCTAAATGTCCTTTGGGAGTCCATTTGTTTTTATCTTTCCAAATGATGACTAAATACCTGATCTGTAGCATTTCTCCTGAGAAGATACTAGTAAGGGAATGACAGTTTTGATGCACTTTGGAATGGCACAATCACGTAAACGCTTGCACAATTAAGACTTATGAACTCATCCAAAGTTTCTAAACATGATATTCTACCTACAAACTAAAATACCAGCACAATGCAGCAAGTTAAAAAAAAGAAAGTTCTATGTAATCAAAATATAAACAAGTAAATAGGAAATGGATATCTGTCAGTAAATCTCTATCTTCTTAAAGTAGGAAACTTATGCACTTAAGAAAAAAAATGTAGCTATCTGACAAACTTTGTAAAAAACCAAAAAAGTACTTTCCAAATGCATAACAAATGCCAAGATATCCCGTAACTGGCCAGGTATAGCCACATGACAGCTGCATGGCTTAGAGCAACCCAGGGAGGGATGGGGTGGAAACAACAACAACAAAAAAAATCACAAAAATAATAGATCAGCAAGTCTAGGAAAAAAAAAAAAAATCACATCATCACCTAAATTACTGTATGCTTATATCACAATTGCTAAAGGAGCCATGGGGAAAAAAAAATAGATTGCAGTTTAATGATTCTTAGAGTTACCTCTAAAAATTCAGAAGGAAAAAAAAAAATCAACTTAATATACTAATCCTAAGCACCAATTTAATAATTTAAGTTAACTGTATTTATATTTCTCCTACTAGGGATGGAGCAAGTTCTGCTTGAAGGCTTAAAAGTTGAACTCTGGAGCCCATCTGACTTCTGTGTTCTTGCCACGCTTCCCCCACTGTTCACATCAAAGTCATTGTAAAAACTCTCTTTAAGTTTCAAACCCTCTAGGCAAGCAATTCTGTGACGAGACTATTCCGTCCTACAGTTTAAATCAACTTTCAGGTCATGAAAAGTGAAACATGCCAGTATTTGGTTAGCCTGTTCTTAAAATAGCCTGTGAAAATGGAACGGCCGACACCGCTCCTCGACAGGATTTGCCTCAGAACTAGCAGCACCCAGGGCAGACCAACTGCGAGCACATCCAGACTCCACCAGAAATTAGTAGTGTTAGAAAATTGCATATGCGTTAGATCAAGAAGGCATCGCCACACACGTGGCATCATTACATTGCTTTTTCTCTATTTTTCTCATTAAGAAAAAACAAAGGAAAACAGCCCTAACAAAGAGCTTTTTGGTTGTTTTTGTTTGTTTGTTTTGTCTTCGCACCTGGAAAAAAGCAGCACAGTACTCCCCAGCTGGAACAGCTCAGCGCTTCCCATCAGCTTAGTTCTTTCAGAAAGCACTTTCACATCGTTAAGGTGGTCTACTTCAGCTAATTCTCAGAGCTAACCTTTTTTCCAGTATATATTTCATGCCACTTCCTGACAGCAATTTCAGAACTGAAATGGATCTATGGTAATGTCCACTACTAACTGTGACCAGATCTTGACACAGACCATCAAACCAGGCCCTTGGGATGGTTCCACACATTGAACTGAAGCTCTGACTAAAAATCTCACTGAAACTCAAAAGCTGGAGTGGTCATGAATCTCAGCTATCTGAAGCTAATCTCTTCCCTATTTGAACCCTCACCCTGTAATGAAAGCACGCACACCAAGGGAAAATAACAACCGCCTGAGCCGGGCGCGTTAAGACACCGGTGAGCTATCTGGCTGCTCCTCAGTGACCGTGGATTCGCTATGCTCCTCGCTCGTCTCGTTGGAGGGCTCCTCGTAGCCCGGCTCGGCGGGATCCAGGCTGCTCCCCTCGCTTTGCTCCTCGCTTTGCTCTTCGCTGGCCTCTGCAGACTGCTCCAAGTTGCTCTCCAAGGAAGCCGGAGAGCTGCCAGTCACACTCTCAGTTTGGTTCATTTCGCTAAAAGGCTGCGGAAGGGGTGCGGGAGACTGTACAGCGTTTTCACTGGCAGGGATGGGCACTTTGGTTGCACCGATGTCTACGACAATGTCGTTTGGTGGTAGAGTTACCTTCTCCACAAGTTTCCATTGGATAATACTCGTGTCTTTCCCTCCAGTTGAAATCAAGTGACCATCGCTATGGGTGAAGCTGACATTTGTCACATGACTACTGTGAGCGCTGTATTTGTGACTTGGAGCCTATTGGAGACAAGCAGAAAGATAACCGGCATGCATGACTAGAAGTGCACGTGATACCAAAACAAAAACCTGCTACTGTTTTTGTTTAGCCCTTCCAGAGAGCTCTTTATTCACCCAAGAGTAAAGAATGATATTATTCTTCCACAACTCAATACACCCCTGAGGATGGATTTAGATCTGTATGCAAAATGCAAAGGTCATTTGCAAAATGCAAATGACCAAGGCCAACAGAAAGCATCAAGCCTCTGCTCCAGAACTTAGGGATAACTATTGCTGCTTCACTTTCAGGTATCCTATTTTATATTTTATACTGTTTTTCTATTATCTATTTTTTTATATAAACCTGATGGGGAAACCCATGCTTTTGTCCCTAGCACCGTTCTCAGATAGGAATGAGTCATTTGGCTGCCAGGTTCCACAAGGACCGAGCTGGAAGGAGGTGCCTGGCAAGGGAAGCTTCATGCAATGCAAACAAGGACATAGACCAGGCTGGTCTAGACCTACCTTGGGCTTGGAACAGGGATACTGAAAGAGATGGACCTTACAAAAATCGTCAGCAACTGCTATCACTTTTCGGTTATGGGACCTGACAAGGGCGTTTATGTCTGTCCCATCCGACCCTTCAGGCCAAACTCCTAGGGGAAAGCAGAGCAGATATTTAGCAATGGTAATGTTAGAAACAAATTAAAAGACAATCCACAAACAAAAATAAAATCTATAAAGCTGTGAGAAAAGAAAGGCTTAACAAGAGGTAAATAAGACATTTAACTGGAAAATGGATTATGCATTGCATTAAATGCCATTAATATTTTGCTAGTCTGATGCTGCTCCCCCACCCTGTCCCCCCAAACCCTCAGGATAACCTCTTGGGCTTGATACATTTCCTGTCCAAAACCTCAGTCTTATTTAAAGCTTATCTGAAGATTAGGTTTGCTGCTAAATCTGTCAACTCTTAATTTAACACTTTCATTCATGCACAAACGCTTTCAAAGCCAGACTGATGCTGAGGCACAGAATGAGCCCAGGTACCACACATCATGTGGAAGTTTCTTTTGGTTTTATTTTAAATCTGGAGCAACTTTTGGTATTCACACGACTCAAAGGAGACAACTGATGGATGATACTTTGCACAGAAACCCAGCCTGTGCAAGTTGCATGGACGTAAGAGCTGTCAAGCACTTAAGTACAATTCAATATGCTTTTAAGTGAAAAGAATGACACTGATATGTCTAGACAAAAGAATAACAACACCGCCTGGATGAAAAGCACTGAACAAATTTCAGAGTGGGAGCCTCCAATTGTAAGAAAAATAAAGATCCTAGAGATTCCCGTAACAAAACTGACGATTCACATCTGCAAGAAAAGCTGAACAAAAGGTAAGCAAGGGGTTTTAAGGTACTAATTTATGCCAAAGGTACCATATTTTTACAGCTCAGACTTGGGGTTTTGATTAGTTCAGGAGTTAAAGTGTATTTTTGCCCTGCAAATTTCAACTCCATCCTGAAAAGCCATGTGTCCGATTGACTGAGAAGGATGTCCATTACCACAAAAAAAGATTTTTTTTCTCCCTTACAATCATGGACTTTGGTAAAATAAAAAACATCTGCTGTCTACTATTTCATACAGCACAAAACACTGACTTAGAATTGCCTTATCTTTTCCAAGCTCCCACACTATCCCTTCTTGTTTTAAGCAAAGTGGCAAGTTAACATTTAAATTCAAAGTTTTGGGCTTTTTTTTGACCATTCTCAGCGGATGGAATAAGAACTTTATTTTCTCTGAATAACAAAGGCATCTTGTTAAGCTTGTTACAGTGACAATAAACTACAGTGTAGATAATTTACTAAATAAAGACATGAAATGCTCAAGAAAGGATGAAGAAACATTTTAGTGCTCTCACACCAATAAAATCAATCTGAAAAATATATACTATTTAAGAATTTTCACGTAGCTCAAAATGAATGAATTTTAACTTTTTCCTGCATTTTATACATAAAACACTGTCATCAGGTCAGAGTAATAAATGACCTTCAAGTTTCAGCTACCACCTTAGGCAGACTGTGCCAAAAAGCTATGCTATTTCCTCCTCTTTTTAATTTAAGATTAAAAAGTCCAATGTTCAGGATTGCATCTCTTATTAAAGATCTTTTGTGTACACAAATTCCTTTGGGAGCTCTAAAGGCAAGACAACCCTTTGTCAGAAGACAGCAGGATTTGTTTTCAAGCCATCAGACAAACATGGGAAAAAAGCAAGACTAATAACACCACATTCTTAATAACTGCATAGGCAACAAAAAACACTAATAGGATTTTTTTTTTTTTAATGAATGACAGCAGCACTTCAATTTTAATCAATTCTGCCAGCCAGCAGTAAGCCTCTCAAAAGAACCTGCTCAGCTGAAAGTGTGGGGAACGTGCAGTAAACGAGAGAGTGACTTCAAGCGCTCGGGGTTCAGACTGATGATACTGCTGAGCCACCACAGTGCTATCACTGCCAAAAAGGAGCAATGCTATTCTCATCCCCACCGTCCGTTTCCACCCTCCTCCTTCTGCTGACAACAGTGCGATGGTTTGAGCCTACGGACACACTATCCACAGAGCTAAATTAGTAAAACACATACCCCGAAAGCCAAAATCCCATAAACTTAACCCTCTCTCCTTAACATCAAAGTGAGCAGCCCCTGGCTTGTTTGGATTGCTGTGCCAGCTGACCCTCGGGTAACAGCCAGACTTCTCCTTTGAGCGGCAAATATCTGCTAGGTTGGCTTAGCTGCACTGTCTGATTTAATGGGAAAATACTTGCCTTTGTCTGAGAGCAAGCAATAATTTTAAGATTCAGCAAAGGGTTTCAGACTACCAGACAATATAAAATCAAAGCAGGATGAATCTTGGCTAGAAAGTTTAAATATATTTCTGTTCTGCCCCAGAATAACATCACATTATCTGCTTTATCTATTTCACTCCCAGGTCCTCTGGCAGACTGAAGAGTTTGAGAGCAGTTGTGACTCATTAAACTTAAACTGGACTGGTTAGAGTTTGTATTAATCCAAAAGGGAATACAGACAGGATCAGCAGATTTATCCACTCTTTAAAACAAAAAGTAAAAAGGCTTTTCCAAAGCAGTGTTTATGGGGGCTGCTCATCTCCTGCCTGGTCCCAGTCTCCACTAGCTTCTATCCGACAGCTGTTAGAGACAAAGCCAATGGTCCTGATGGCAAACCAAACTCTGCACTCCCACTCCTCATCTCCTGAGGTCAGGAGTCAAGGACAGTTCTGGGAAAATGCTGGGAGTCTGAGAGGTTCTCCCCTTATTCCATTTGCTGTACCACCAAATGCAGTGGTAAAAGCTCAGTAGCAACACAGCCACCATCTGCTACCTCCGTGTTTGTGGCAGATTTAAGTACTCTGCATAAAATGTAAAATGGCTTTAGCCCCAAGGCTATTCCAGAAGGAATACTCAGTCCTTACAAAGTGTTTCCAGGGCTTCTGGAGAAAGGCATTATATTAGTGTCAGAGTTTTGCTTTTCACTTTCTCTAGCGTCTCCTGAATCTTCTGACACACCGTTTTAAAAAAGGTGCTTGTGTTGCACTATCATTGCAGTGGCAGTAACAAAGGCAGCGAGGAACCGACTGCTGTGGACCAACCCCTTGTCAGCCTAGGCTTACATGCACAGAGCGTCAGGAGGAAACAGCCACCCACTCTCCACTTCACCCAGACAGATGGAATAAAAACAATCACGTACACAACCTGGTTCACAGTTCTCAGGCTAATGGGAGCAAGTATTTTGCTCAAACTAGGAATAAGCAACAATATTCAGCTCCAGAAACAGCATGCTCCCGTTTATTCTGCTACCTACCTCAAGCTCCAAGCAACTCAAAAATATTTATGCAGTTTATCAACCAGTCAGCAGCTTCCTTCTCTCACCCCTTTATTTTTCTTGCTCTGCCTCAGATCTCTGGTACTCAGAAAGGAAATCGAGCCTGGTTATAAAGCCCCAAATGCCCTCCACCCAGCCAATATGACCCACAAGTGTCAGAGTTGGCTAACAAATCAACTGCAATCCTTCAAGACTACTCACTCATTAGGCACCCAACAGTCCCAAAATATGCATGATAGGCTTCAGAGGCTACAGAAAGCACTTAACTGATTTTCTACTACCCTGCACATAAACTGATACTCCAAGTTGAACTCCTAGTAGCTGGGAAGAAATATATGTAGACCTAACCCTCACCTCTCAAGAATTTGCTCATTTACCTGCATTTGATTTTTCCGACAACATGGAGAATAGAGGCAGGTATCTGAGCTCAGCAGTCAAATTGAGACCTGCAGCACCCTGCTCACACAACTTGGTCTTACAACACTGACAGGCCGAACCATACTTTCCAACCCCTACAGAGGGGCTCCTCATTCATGTACAACAGCCTTTGGTAAAAGCAGGGTGAATTGTTTGGGCACAGTCTCAAACTGCACTATTAAAATTGGATCTGTCAGCTTTGTAAGCTTTTTTGTACCTTTAAAAAATAAACTACTAGGTAAAGAACCTGTTTAACCTTTAAAGCATTTTCACTCTTTAGATGCAGAGTATATTACTCACCTTTGACTACAGATATCAAATTTCTGTCATGATTTAAAGTCTTTCAACTATAACCTACACTCACACAGTCTTGCTTCCTATTTCAAAACAAGGTAAGCAAAGGAGAACACACATGTGCCATATGAGCACATTAAAGTATCAGGTTTTTATTTCAGTGCCTCCAAAATTGGTAGGCTAAAAATGACAGCAGAAAAATCAAATCCCAAACTTCAAGGCTAAAAGGAAATCAATTATCTCTGTGTCACAGACGAGTGTTGTGGTCAGTCTCTTTGGTCTGTCAACTCAACACCATCCTCAATGACCATTAACAGTGTATTTCTCATGACAAAATGAAGCAACAGAAAACACAAAAGCACACTGTGAATAGCTTAAAGGCAGATTAAATGGTGCTTACCAAACACCTGGAAGCCTAGCACACAAGTATATGTCGTCCAATCTATATCCTTACAGTCAGAACGATTCCTGATCAGCTTACAGCCACTTGGAATGTCCCCTGTAAAAAAAAACAACAGTGAATGATGAGTTATGTCATATGATTTTTTATTTACATGTGTGTTCTTTGAAGGTGCTAAGACAGTAAATAAACACATCTTAATATCAATCTGGAATTACACTGTAGAGGCAAAGACAGACCTGTACCTTTATCAAATTCTAAATGTATATCAAGTGAAGCTGTAAGTAAGAGTCACATTTACTTCTCATTTCCCTCTCCAGATCAGCAAACCTCCAAAACACTTCCCTTCAGCTTAGGTCCCCTGCTACCTACTCTACAAATTGCTTTAATAGAATCTGTAATGGAATAATTTCTCTTTCCTACCAGCTCCATTGATGTGCTAAAATTCAGCAATCATTCAGGCAGCTTTGCTTTTAAAACAGTGAAAAACTGCTGCTAGAGAAGTCTTAGACTGCTTTTCAAGTCATTGCTAGAAGATTGTTTCCCAAAAGAATGTTCACCTTTCAATATACCAGCCCAGTACTAATGGGTCACAGCTCTTCGCTTCCCTGTACGGGCAATTATAAACACCCACACTTCCTCTTGTTAGACTGAGACACTTGAACTATCCAGACTTGAACCCTAAGTTGTGACAGGCAGAAAGAACCTGTTAAGGTTGCAGGTATCTAAACTGATGGCTCTTCTTGCCTGTACAGTAACAGAACTACAAACCTCCTGGATCCTGTTAAAGCCACAGGAAGACAAGACTACAAAAACCAATTTAAAACTACTGATAGGCACTGTGCAAGTTGAACTTTTGACATAACCACTATATATTAAATTCATATTTTCACCTATTTAAGAGAGACACACAAAAGCATTATTACCACCAACTCACTGAAGTAGCATTGCTTTGCTTAGTTTTCAACACCACTAGCCAAGAAAGATAAAGTTTAAAAAATAAATCCCAGAACAGAACAGTGGCACAGACCCACTGATTTTATTCCCCCAAAATAACTGGTACTGTTGACACTAATTAGATACACTGTATATATTATTTTCCATCTACAGAACTTTGGGCCAACATCAAAACCTAGTGCCACTTGTTCCGTAAATTCTACGCTGTTAAACTGATTTACGGCCTTGTAAAGAAGTAAGCTATATTTGGCATTGCCATTAGGTAATACACAGTTCTGAATAACATCAAGATAGCGGGTTACACAAGTTCAAATTGGTTCCTTTGTCAGTGAGCATTTTGTCCAGCCCTGATCAAACACATTCTTCTAAATATTCTGACAGCTAACACATAATTCTGTTCCCAGTGTATTTAATTTCATACTTACAGTATAGTATTTCATAGTCTCCTGAGTTTGACATGATATACTTGTTGTCCGGGGACCAGTCAAGGTGTGTAATATAGCTGGAATGTCCCTGGAGAAGAATGCAGTGACACCAATGTGAAACGCATATTTTAATTCAAACAGAAGCAGAAGTTGCCCCCGCAGATGGGATAGCTACCAGCAAAAAAAGCACCTCCCCACCCACCCCAGGTCTGCTGCAATTCACTTGTGCTCCTTTAAAGGCTCCTTACGCCACTGTGCCACGCTCGCTACCAGCTAAACAAACGCAGGCTGGGCATCCTGCCGCTCCGGGTGGATTCTTTGCAAACCGTGTTCCCCTCGGACCTCAGAATGATTTACTCCTAGAAGGTACATTGCTAAAATGTGGATATATTTGTACTTGGACTGAGAAAGTATACACTGCTGCTAGTTGAGAAAGGGAAGTAACTTGCACAGGATCATTTTTAGATCCCAACAGAAAAGTGACTGATAGGATTCTATTTTGTTTCTCTATTCATTCAAAATAATTCACACTAAATGCATACACATTCAAATAACCTTTTCTCATCCTAAAAACTCAGGACACCTCAGTTAACAACCAACACGCAAAACCACAAGATCAAGGACTGGTGTTACAAGGATGCCTCCATAAGCTTGTTGAAAATTTCTGCTCCCTACGCTGCATGCATCTTAGTGCCAGCTTCCAAAGGAGTCATCCCTATAGGTGCAGCATCGTCTTTGTAAGAAGCAAAACACATTGGCCCAACTGCTTAGTTATCACCATCACAAGCACACTGAGAGCTAAACACCCATCTTTGGTTTTGAGGGACAAGCTAAACGCAGCTGGTCACAATGTATTTCCTGCACACCAGCTTTTTTGTTGGCAGCAATTATAACCATAGAGCTGTAAGAGGCTCCAGAAAAGCCAGAAATCTGTATAAGGTAGGAATAAAATATTTCTCCATAGAGGAAAAGGTAGGAAAAGGTACTCCTCTGCAGAGGACTATGAGGTGCTGATTGCTTCCAGAATTACACACAGAAATACACTCGTGTCCACCTCCCTGTCCCAAGGCCCTCTGTGAGAGGCTGCAAAAACATTTAGGAGAAAAGTTAACCTTTAAGATTTATTTACTTATGAACCAGCCTCTGCCTCAAGCAGAGGAACACTGTATTGACATAACTACTTTGCAGTCACGGGTGGGATATATAATATCAACATGCAAACTTGGTATTTGGAAAAAAAAAAAATGCACAATTGGCTAGGATTTTTTCTCCCTCCTTCATTTTCCAAGTCTTCAAATTTGCAAGCGAACTCCAACATGGAAAAGAAATGGTCAGTCATCTACTAAATCCTGCCAGACATTTGGCAGCTGTTAAAATTCCTGGGGGCGGCAGGGGAGGGAACAAAGCAATTGGCCATGGGGCTCCATGCTCCAAAATCCCTTCAGGCAAGCGATGAACTGGAACGTAACACTGTCATAATATTTTCAATAGGACGATCCCTTTTTCTATTAAAATCTTTCTTTGGCAGCTGCCCACTGATAAGGCAACATTTTACTCCTTCCTTTTCTGTACCTTGGTATACAATGATCGTAATTACTCACGTTATCACTGGCTAGTGAAATTCTGACTAAATGGCAACCCTCTCCATCACTGGTGATGCTTCTCTGTTTCAGACTTAAGTTGTACAAGGGTTGAAATGCCCACAGCCTTTGGGACGGGCACACTAATTATTTCAAGCGTATCTAGCATATCAAATACTTCAGTGTGGCTGCCTGTGGGGCTTTCACCCCACAGTTCCCTCCGTGAATGCAGGGCACTTGCTTCTCTTACTAGCAGACCTCTCTGATGTAAGGCAGAGACAGAGCCAGCTACCCTGGAGCTGCCAACATGCTGGAAGTTCATAACCCGGCCCATACCTTCACATCGCTGTCTGCATAGCTGGAGCCCTCAAAAAACAGCTGTGCAAGTCGAAACGGTTGTTTCAGCTCATGTGAAATTCTTTCTGATCACAACCAACACCATCCCTCACCGTGGAAACGCAGGCCAGCGACTCGCCTCTCCGGCGGCAGCAAAAGCTGGGTCGTGCCCGAAGGGGTGTTTAAATGCGGCGGTGGGCATGCAGCCCCTGTGCACAAGCTGATGCTGGTTCAACAGACAAAATCCTTCTGAAAGTATTCAAATAATGTTGGAAGAAACAACCAGAAGTTGACTACCAGGAGGACTGAGTCATGTTACTTGGAGGTCACTCGCGAGGCTACCGAACGACAGAGGAGCGCCAGAAGGATGCGGTGCCAGCGCCCGAGTGCC